ACCCTAAACCCCTAAACCCTATACAAGATATGTTCAGTCTTGGTTTCCAGATTTGTCCGGCTCGGCTGTTACCGTTCCAGCGAGGTCCGACAAAAACACCCAAGTCATATGTAACGGGTCCATGGTCCGATTGACATCTTGGTTTAGGGTTTAGGGTTTCAGAAATGTGTTCTAACACAATATAGACCTACTGGGATCCTCGTAATATGGACCCCTAAGCAGGGTCCCCCAAAATAATTTCAAGACACCTGCTAAACCCTAGCTAGGCACGCAGCTTTCTCCGGATAGAACAGGATCGGCATGGTCTTTCTCCCCCGTTCACCTCGCTGGCTGGTGCAGAAAGGCTTTTTTGGGGCTTAGGGATTTAGGGTCGCACGCTTTGGGATTTTGGGGCTGTTAAGTTTTGGGGCCTTGAGGTTTAAATAGGAATTTAGGATATTGGGGTTTAGGGATTTGGGGATTTAGGGCTTGGGGGTTTATGTTATTTCAGGTACGGGTTTAGCCTGTCGGACTTTCACGGGTTCAGGCTCAGAATAGACTTGGGTTGGTAATGTGGGGTCTGAACACTGAATGACAGTAACCTTGTCATTATCGTCCCACTGTCCCTGCGTAGGCATAGCCCAATATAGCGCAGCAGCGTTTAATATTAGGACTCCGATAGCAAAGGCGTGTGCGGGATGACTTGCGCGTGAACAGGGATGCATGCCCGTTTGGGAATGAAAGACTCCGAAACCTGAACCTCAAGCCCGAACTAAGCCCCATGCCGTCAACCCCACACCAAACCCTCATTCCCAAACGCTTCAGAGTCCCTTGCAACAGTAGACCTACTTTCCTTCTGCATACAATAGGAGAGTGGGGTCTTGCCGTTGCTTTTCAAAACCTCAACCCCCAAACCATTGAGGTGGTGGTTAAGCTTTTGGGGTTTATTTTAGGTAGTATTAGGGAGATGCCTTAAAGGGGACCCTTCTTAACCCTACCCGTGGCTCTCTTAGAAGGGACCTCATTGAGAGGGTCTATATCCCCCAGGGTCCCCCTAATCCTACCGTTTAGTTTATGGCTGAGGAGGGTTATGGTTTGCCCTAAACCGGTGTGCATTTTGGCTTCTGACACCTGCTGTTCTCCGGACCAGCTGGTAAGACTGATCGGGGCCCTCTCCGTTTTACGATGTAGCTGAAGGACGCACAATGAACACTACGGGTCCTTAGCCTAGACCCCCAAAATAGGCCTAAATGCAACCCCTTGCGGTCACCCTGAGACGGTTGCAGGGTGAAAGGGTGCAAACCAGAAACATATCCCCTAAACTTGGACAGAAACCTAGTGAGTCTGCACTGTGACAGGTCGAATCAATGAAGCCTACGATGTTCTGCTAAAGCTGCGGGAGGAGCGACTCAGTCTTGCAAGAAGCGCGTACCCTCAGTCGCTCTGAAGATTTAGGTTTTACATGTATGAGGCTGCGAGCCAGGTAGTATTGTTGTCGGGAGCAAGCACAGCATGGGAAGCCTTCTCCTCATGAAGTCTTCTGCCAGCACAGGAAACTAAACCCTGAGCCCTAACCTCAGCCCTCAACCCGGACACACCCATAAACCCTAACACACACGGCCTTACACATTCTCTGTCAGGAAACCCTGAAGCCGTAGTGTCCGGCGGCTTGTGAGACTTAGGGGTCGCTGAATTCGGGGGGTCCTCTTGGTCAGGATCTTAGGGTCCCAGAGTTTGCTGAACCTCGGATATCACCACTTACTGGCACACCTAAGCCCCCGTAGTCATTTATCCGACCGAAGGGTCTTGACCACGTCCTTGGGTTGTGATCTTCCGGGTTATGCGGTTCAGGATTCGGGGGCTTGGGGTTGTAGGCTGATGAAGGCTGTTTTATCATTTTGTAGAACAAATTCCGTGGTCGTATTTCAATCTATGCCAGAATCAGTTCCCGAAAATGCATGGCTCTGGCTTTAGGCAGTATCAACTCCAACGAGGCATGAGAGTATATTGGGGTTTAGGGCTTCGGTTTGCATGTCCAAGACTGGATCAAAAGAGCCGCAGAACCAGGGAAGCCAGGCCGGAAACCCATGGGAGGGAAAGACACCCCCTGGTGTTAGCTATTCAGCTCTTCAACTCGGGTTTAGGGTTTCGGGTTTAGGGAAGTTTAGGGTTTATCCGAAGCCCAAGCACACGAAACCTTAAATTTGGAATCCAGCTCAGGAGGGATGCGCAGCAGGAGCTGAAGGACATCCTTCAAAGCTGGCAGGACAGCGGCGAGGACGAGGTAAGGAAGTTTGATTCTTGATTCGGAGTCGTATTGCCCTGCATTCAGAAAACATCTCAACACCCTGAGGGCAATTTATCTGCCAGTTCTTCTAACCGCTATATCGGGTAGCCAGGAGCCCGCTAAGCTCTACAGCGGCAGCTCCCATATCACGACGCCCTGCAGTACTGCAGGTGAGCTGGAGAGAACTGGCGAGAGGGCGGACCAAACAACTCTTGATGGCTGCTCGTCGTGAGGGATCCTTTCTGAAAAGTACCGGGTTTATGAACTCCATGGCGACGTTTAGGGCCGTGCACTTGCGCCAATGCCCTTCAGATATCTTTGGGTGTTTGAACTTGGCCGTGCAATCATGCGAGCTTATGCCACCCTAAACCCTTAACCCTAAACCCTTTGGGCTTTAGCTAACCTCAGTTGGGAGTCATGAAATCAACCCGGGCCTGGCCATCCAGCCTTCTGGTGTGTGAGCCTTGTAGTTTCCCCACGGTGGCAGGAGGGAATACATAGGGATGCTTAGTTTCTGCGGTTTCTGTCTGAAGATACAGGTGTTGACAACCCTGCTACCAGCTTGGACGAGGCTTAAGGAACCTCCCAGAGACTCCGAAAGCCCTTAATTACGGAATATATACTTTAAATCAGATTAAGGTTCCTATTACGATTTAAGAGATGTTCCTTAATTAAGGGGTTTTGGGGAGTAGCCCTAAACCCTGAACCCTAACCCTATAAACCCTAAACCCTAAACCCTAAACCCTAAA